AAATGCAACAACGAAATAGTATTTGATATTTCTAGGTCTGACCTAGACACACTGCGTTAATACTAGAGATGAGATGAAAGTGTTTCGCTAGTCTTTTTCGTTCTATTCTGAAAGTGAGCACTCAAGACTCGTTTTTTCTCTCATCCGTTTGGGAGGGATAGACGTTTGTGGAAAACTCCATGACAACGGTAGAAAAAAGGAATTTGACGTAGGAGAAACTATCTAAACTTCTTACAAATCTGACACGTCATTGAAAGACTCCTTTTTGAAAGCAAAGTAAAGCGCTACATGCAGTTTATGTATTCTCTTTCCAAGACTTATTTCACTTTCTTCTTACTGTCGTCAGGTTTGAATATAGCACATCACAATTTCAGTATATAAATCTATCTGCTACAGAAAATAAGTAACTTTCGCGAAAGTCGTTTACTCAGTCCGTTTTTTCTATAGTTTATAAACGACAAAAATAAACGAAAACGAAAGTCACTATCGTACTATCTAAAAAAGACAGAGAAGATAGACGAAGACAACAAAAAATTAAAATACAAGCAAACAGTTAATGGGTGAGTCATAACTTGGCACTGGAAGTAAATGTTTAGTTTAACCGAGCCGAGCTTAGCTCACCGATCCCGAGCTTTGCCCGTGCCGAGTACTAGCCGGAGTTCTCAGACTCGGACCATGCCTACTATGTATACCTATTATTGAGAATAGAACTTTTCCATAATGTCTGTCGTCAGCATTCGATAAACAGCCAGTCTTGCTGCGGTGCCGAGTTTTAGATATGAAGTCTCAAGCAGCGCCGTACATTTCTTTGCTAGTTGTATAAGATGATGTATCTACTTGCAATTGGCAGTTTTATGGTCTCACCATGTTTAAATCGTTCAGCTCGTAAGCGAAGCGTTCAGTATTGAATACTCGCATTTTTACAGCACACAACTCTACATACATCAGAAACTAATTAAAGTTAGGAATGAGTAGTAAGATAAATGTCTGAAATCATAAAATATTGATATACGGATTATGCTATGAAACGTATAAAGTTTAATGTTCTGATCTTTTCTCTATGACAAAAAAATTGTTGATGCAAGAAGAGGCGACTAGTAAACAGATTTTTTTAATAATATTAGTTACGTTTAAGGCGGTAATTGTGATACTTATAACATTATTGGTGGGAACTAAGGTGGTTGAATCACAAACAACTACTACGGACACAACGACCACTACGGACACAACGACCACTACGGACACAACGACCACTACGGATACAACCACTACTACGGATACGACGACGACTACTACGGTCACAACGACCACTACGGATACGACGACCACTACTGATACAACAACAACTAGTAAGTATAATGTAGACTTTAGTGACGTAGAATCCAGAAGTAGCAATGAGCGGTACCGATAAAAACGTTTTGCGCTGCCGCAGCGCAAAACGTTTTTGAGATTATGCTTGAGATTATTACTGAAGCGTCACTGACGCTTCAGTAATAATCTCAGATTTTTACTGCGAAAATCTTTGGTAAAAGAATTTTCACCGTTACTGACGATAAATTACCGACTACTACAGAGTTTTCGATAATGTATGTAGGTTAGTTTTTGTGTAGTAGTTTAACTCACACTGACCTTTTCTTTTATATCCATTACACACATATATGAAAACTTGTTTTATATTTTACCCCTATGTGGTTGATAAAGAAAAACAAAATCTTGTTTAACATAACGTAAACTGTTTGTAAAACCGACGATCGCCGTCGAGATGAATCTGGTGTGAAGTATCAACATTTGCAATACATCTAAACATGGAATCACCCTGGGCATTAGTATTTGTAACCAATCATTTTTAAAGTGTTATGACTTTCTCCGTTGTCGGAAAATTACTTGTTTATTGATATTATGCCTGCAGGTCTATAATTTGTTCAAACTATGCTATAACTTACTTTAGTTGCATTTAACACAGAAAACAAGTAAAAAAGATAAGGGAAGAAACATTGACATGTACTATGGTCCTCATGCCTTTATGCTCAAATATAATATATATAATGATTATAAATTTAGATCTTCCCTCATTTCTAAGGGATAGACATCGACTCATCAAAACATATAGCTTTTTAAAAATCCGTAGAGTGTTTATCTAGCTTCAAATGAGTTTAAGTTTATTCTGCGACGACATGATGAGTATCATAGGTCACGTTAGGCAGACTGAAGTTTAATATTAACGGCACCGTCTATCTAAACATTTCTTTTTATCCTTTTTAGCGGCAACAACGTCAACATGTACGTATTAAACAGATACAAAATGAGCTAAAAGCTCTGTTCCAGAATCTCAGGAACATGTTCAAACTTTGAGAAAATGGTAGCGGACCAGCATCAATTTCCCTGTACTTTGGGGTACAAATTTTTAAGCAAATAGTGGTCGAAAATAAAAATCCCAAAAATATGCCCAGAAATTCATTTTGTCGAGTTAACTTCTAAATTAAATCAGTCGATGCAGTTTTTGACGCTGATTTGGAATATCAACTTCATTTTCTTTCAGAGTAAAGTTTTTAGGTCAAGAACCCCAAAATACGGGAAAATTGGTGTTCGTTCGCTATCTTTTTCTCGACTCATCTAAACGAATTGTTTCTTAAAAAATCTGGAGAGTGTTCATCTTGCTTCAAATGAGATTAAATTTACACTGCGACGGCACGATGAGTATCATAGGTCACGTTAGGTAGATTGAACTTTAATATTAACGGCGTCGTCTGTCTAAACATTTCTTTTTATTCTTTTTAGCGACAACAACGTCAACATGTACGTATAAACAGATGATTGTTTCTTTACTTCCGACTGACTAATAATAAAGAACCTCCAAACAGCCATATATAGTCTCACGAGGGAACCCCCCCAGATTGCAAATCGCTTTCGGGCTAACACCTAGTGGATCAGAGGTAATCAAGGGTGTTGATTCCGAATATAACAATCATTTTGGCCGGTAGGTCTTCAGAGACCGGATTTCGGGAAAAACAGTTTTTCAGAAACTCCTAAAAACTAACCAAAACCTTTGTTAATGAGGCAGAATTGTAGTCCGCAGGTTTCTGGTTAAAATGAGACCTCTTCGAGCTCTACACAGTCTTTCTTTGCAAAATTATAGAGTTTGCAAGAAAAGCTCTAAATGTTCATTGTCAGCTTGAAGCTACAGAAATAAGAAGAAATTAATTTAGGGCTTTTCTCGTAAATTCTACAACTTTGCAAAGAAAGATCTTGTAGAGCTCGGAGAGGTCTCATTTTAACCAGAAATGATCGCGTGATGATTTTCGGGCAGAAATGCTGGGTACAAGTCAGTTATAGTTAGGATTCTTATATGTAGCATTGCTATTCATGCTTGATCGTCATGATGATTTCAATAATAATATCCTTACCTTTTGCTTAGAGTATCGTTCAAATAATCAAGATACTTCGTAATTCTGCAGTCTTTTTGTTATCTAATCCAATGGTTTTTATATAAAACTTTCAGCTTCTTGCTGAGACATGCTATTACCAAATTAAAGAAACTGAAGCTTAAAATTTAATTCAAAAACCAAGGGTCAAACATCTAGCAAAAGTGTTTCGTTTAAATGGTTAAAACATATAGTGTGGTCGTTAAAAACCTTCATGTTCTGACTTGAAACCTGATCAAACGGTTTACTCTCAATTCGTCCCACGAAGCTTTTTTTCTCAGTTCGTCCCATATTAGTTTATTCTATTGACTATAAGTCTATAGTCATATGAAATAAAGTGTCTGTGTGTGTGTGTTTGTCCGTACAGAGGTGTGAACTACTTTACAAAGGTGACACATCATGTCAGAGAAGTATTCATAACGCATGGTAGATAGTCCCTAGCGAACACCGACCGAAGGGAGGTGTCAGCGTTGTTTCGATGAACTAGGCCAAATGTTGCTCCCACTCAGGTTTTGTTATCAAGGGTAAGAAGACTGATAGATTCGTCCATTTCGAACGTCTGTATAGCACATGAAAGCAAATCAAATTACAGAGTTTCGATGAACTACAGAAATTCTGATAAACTTTTCTAATCCGTGAAAAGCTATAGGAACTACTTCTGTAAACTGCGATGAAAAATATGTATGCACTCGTCGTAAAAAATACGCATTAATTCTGTAGTAATAAGATCGGGCTACAACAGAATGAAAAAATATTCGCGACACGACATTCATTCGACTTACGATCAATGGACTTAGTGAATCGATACGATTCAGGTTATTTATACTTAATTAGCTTTAATATAATTGTTCGTACCTCTTGTGTATGGTGATATATATGACCGTTGTGGATGTATAAACAGTTGTATTGTACAAACAACGATAGCTGAAAAGCGAAACAAGAACATAAAGATGCTTTTCAATGTATTAGATTCTCGAAGATTGTAGGACTAAATAATGGACTAAGTTATATCTCCAATATTACATTAGTATTGTCATTTGTTTTTTCAAAATGATGCATCATATCAACTTCCTGGATTTTTCTCCACAACAATTGAGCATAATGGAAGAAACAGCCATTGATTTTGATATATGGAAAAATATCGACAAAAAAATTTATTGTGACTTGTTCGAAAGCGCAGGTTAGGCGCTGTGGATTCATTTCAGCATTCAATGTTTTACCATATTTGAGTAAATGTCTCAATATTTTCTTGTAGACAACGGAATTTTCTCGTGTAGTCAAAGAATATGCACATGGTATCATGGATACCGCCGTCGACTAAACTGTTCGACGGTACAACACTTTATTTATTTTGAGGCGCAAGCATAGATATCTGGCGAGCTGAGAAAAAAATGTATGGGACGAACTGAGAGGACACTGATCAAACTGGTTCTTAAGAAATTTCCTAAATGTTCAGATTCAATGCTTTAACCAGCATAAAGTGAATTAATTAAAATCAACTGATTAATACGGTAGACGTTTCGGTTAGTCGATTCTCGTAAATACGTAAAAGAGAATTGCACGTAAAATTAATCGAGCATGAGTAAAGTAGAATTTATATAAGAAAAAGAAATTTAAATCAGATCTAAGTAGTCTTTCTGTATCACGATAGAACATGGATAATAAAATTTTCTGTTATTCTAGCTCGATGTTTATGTTAGAACAATTTCGTTTTTATAGTCTTTCTTTTTTGTAGTCCCAAATTGTATGCATTGTCCACGTTTTGCTTTTGAGTCAGAGGCTCACACGAATCCATAATGTCTACGATAATAAAAGATGCAATGGTTGACTGTTAGTGGTAGTTCATACGATCATTGTAGACTTATAAACCACAGAATAAACAGTCTTGAGTCTTTTTCTACATGAATCATTAAGTTCATTATCGTAGATAGAAAGATGCTTGAGGTCTCCATCTCACATGATTGGAAGAATGCTACGATTGAGAGATCTTAGATTTTTAATACCGTTAACTTGAGTGACATTCTTCGTTGACATTATGTTCTATCCTACATACAGATCTCCACATTCTTGCATTTAAATATTCGAAAAATGATTCGATTCATGATTGAGAAGTGTATCTTCATTTGTGGTTTTTCGACACCACGATTTCCTCAACTTACTTGGTGATCAATCCATTCACGAATGACACTTTTTAATCGACTTCAAACTCGAATGTGAAGCGTATTTTAGTACTGTTATTTAGTTTTTGACTATTTTTTCAAATCGGCTCTTGTTTAAACAGAAGAACATGGCATCTAAAGAGTAGATAGAAACCAAACCTCCTGGTCCAACGCTTATCTTTGAACCTTGGAATATAAATATCGACTGGTATGGGCAATAAAGGTGATTCTACGAGAAGGTTATACTTTTGTTTGTACCATTTTTCGTCAAATTGAAATATTTACACACATTTTTAGACACATATTTAATTGGATCAACTTTCTGCTGAGAGACAAAACTAATGCCTTGTTCTAACACTCACAATGAACTCGTGTTTTAAGAAATTAGACCAAATCAACTTTCACCTGCAACACACGAATTTTGTCTTATCACGATCAAAAGTAGATCCATATGTTACTTACGTGTTATAATCTGTAGTTAGTACTCAACAACAGAATCTGGCAGGGATGGACAAGTCCGGACTGATAGACTTTTTCACACGGACTGGGACTGGACTGGGACTGAACGCATAAGAGACATGGACTTTATTTTAACAGATTTTTTTTTCACATCTGTGACTGGACTTTTCAGTTTAAATTTGAAAAAACAAGAATAAAGAAATTTAATTCACTCTTTTATTTTTTTCATGTTACCGGTTAAGATTAACTCTGATCAAAACTTTTGATCAGTTACTTACAAGAGTTCCTTATAATCAAAAGACGGCTGTTTTTTTTGCTGTTGTATTTTTTTTTGTTGCTATAGCGATGTAAAGAAACAATTACTCTCTGATAAAAGAAGAAAAATAATGGAAGTGGAAAACAGTCTATGCTGTGGCCCACATCGGACTTGAAGATTAGCGGACTGAGACCGGAACATTTTAGCTGCATAGTGGACTGGGACTGATTAATACCGGACTTGCCCATCTCTGAGAATCGGAGAATCTAACTGAGTCACATGATAACTGAATACTCAGTAAAGTTATACAATATTTTAGCAACCAGAACAACATCTACATCAACTACTTCCACAACGACAACGAAAACTACTTCAACAACGACAACGTCAACCACTTCAACATCGACAACGACAACCACTTCAACAACCACAACCAGCACGAGTACATCAACCACAAGCAGCACAAGTACATCAACCACTTCGACTACAACTTCATCAACTAGTACAAGTGCCACTTCAACAACAAGCACCAGTGCAACAATAACAAGTAAGAGAACCACGAAAATATTCTCAAAACATAATTGTACCCCAGAGACTGGATAAAGACATCTTCTTCCAGACCTTCCACAAGTTGATTTTAGCTTTCCATTTTATAAAATTTACGAAAACACAAAAATACTTTAAACAGAAGTCTGATCCTCGTTCTTGACTGTTTATAATAAATAAAAGCACATAAACCACTGCCTAATCGGTAATGTCTATTAAAAAATTCCAATCCTGCAGGACAGTCATACTTGTTTTCATCTTTTGTTAAGATGACCGGCACGGACCTTTTAGCTGACTGATTTATCAAACAATTGAGTATGACGCTTTTTCCAGTATGTCCTGTTTTTCAAAGGCAGAATTACTAATATTTCAAGCATGGAATGAATAACTTTTGATAGATAAAAGACAAAAATATGCGGTTCTCAGTATTTTGGTTATCGACTATGCTGCATCTCGCTGACAATGTTTACTTTCGTGAAAGCTTCAAAAACGTACGAAAGATCCGTGTTTGGTCGAATAACCCATTTTTAGCTGTTTTCAAGATAAAATTAAAATATTTGTAGTTAAGTGAAAATCGATCCAAGCCACTTCAAAATGTCAAGATATGTAGTGCACCCTGGAACTCAATAAATTGTCTTTAGGTTTTGGAAAGGTTTTCTAGAAATCTTAGGAATTAAGCGAAGACGTTAAGAGTTGTGTTGAATTCTAAGATACGCTGCATATAAAATAGGACACATCTTGACATTCTGAAGTGGTCTGGATCGAGTTTCCCTTAACTGTAAATTTTTTAATTTTATTCCGACAAAAGCTGAAAATGGATTATTCCTCCAAACACGAGTTTTCAGTAGGTTTTTTGAAGCTTTCTTTAAAAACAAACATTGTCACGAGATGCAGCTTAGTCTGTAACCTAGGTTTCCAATTGTTTTCACTTTTGCCAAATCTCATGAGTATCATATATTACGAGTCCGAGGAAAAATCCTCATCGCGCGAACGGTAATATATGGAGATCTCGGACTTTGTGTGGATGTGTAGTACATATTTCAGTGTATGCTCTGCATATTTTAGAGCTACAGGGTTCTTATTAGAATTTAAGGTGCGACAACTTTGTCTTTCAAAGATCAGTGAGGTACACCATCTCAAGAGCCTTAGCGTAGGGACGATCTACTTTGCTCAATCAATGTCTGAGTTTTTGTTTATACTCGTACAGTAGGTAGCAGTCATATATTTAGGAAGGTTCCGAAATGTTTTTCACCGGAACTTCCTTCAAAAGTTATGAATTTTTCGTAGAAATCCTAAAAACAGGATGAAACGATAACTGGGTATAAGTGAAATTTCTTTTCACTCATCCATATATATTTATATCTTGATTTAGTAAGTAGATAAAGAGTCCGCATTTGGAGCATAAGTAGTCAAGGGCAAGTACTATCTAGAGCCAAGAGCACATGCAAAAATAACTGTCGCACATTAGGCTATCACACTATGCTTTCGGATTTACGACATCATTCAAACTGAAGTTGAATGATGCCATAAATTCGAAAGCAAAGTTTGACAGCTGTAGCATAACTCAGGTCTGCAAAGACTCATATGGTCTGTCTGATTTAAAAATCGAAGTATTTAGTCGGTGATTTATAGCGGATGTATTAACTTAAAAATTATCTCTAGTGATCAATAAAAGTACCTTAGCGCCGTACAAAATGCGTTAAATTGAATATATCTTGGGAAAAGCTTTTGTTTAATATGAACTGAGTTTATGTGTTATTAAAATTTGAAGCAAGATTGATAAAAATCAGCACTTCAAACTTTTACATTTATACAACATTCTTAAGTTCACTCGCGATAAAACTTTTGATGCTAAATTACAAGTGGATCGAGAATTAGTGTGATACCGAAGAAAATGCGAGTGAACTTTTGGATTTGTTTTCATGTGGCAAATTGAATCACACAGCATAAAGCATAGTGATAAATGAAACTTTCAAGTGCTTCGATTTCATGTTAACCGAATTACTACCTGAAATGTTTGTGGTTTGTCTAAAACAAACTGCTGAGAACAATCTTTCACTTTTACTTTGAAACAAGTGCCGTCAAAATATTTAGAATAGCACAACGTAAGTTTCCATTTATTTGGAAGATACACCTAGACCGATACCAGCTCTTTTAGATAGATTATCTTCCCGAAATCGTGAGATATGGGTGTGTAGATACTAATGCGTAAGCGGCAATCTGAATTATAACTATAACATGTGGGAAGTTATTAAAGATTTTAAGAAATGAATACCATAGTCTGGCCTACTATCAGAAATATGAACATTACCTAGCGCTTGTGCAACACAGGTCGCATTTCAAATATTCAGACAACTCGCCGATTTATTTTTTATCTCTTTATAGAATTGTTCTCATTTTAACATCATCCATCTCGTTGTTTCAGTAGCGCCTGTAAGCCAACTACAAATAGGGCTAAGTATAGGTTTAGGACTATTCGTTTTATTTGGTGCAATTATTGCCGGTGTTTTTACTTGTTATTGTTTTCGTCAATGTCCTCTAAAGTAAGTTACTTATATTTTATTGCAAACCTATAAGATTAAAACGATTATTTTATGTTTTATATTTATAGTAAATACAGGCGAAAGCTAGCAATAAAAGTAAAACAGCAGTCAATGAATTTTAATCCACATTTAAAAAACTCATTTGATAGAGAAATAATACGACCAAACTATCCGAATGACAATCGAGCATATACAGAAATAAACATTACGGGCAGTGACCAGTTTTAATCGACGATATATATATACAAATATATTTATAACCACTTTATTCTGTCAATTTTAAAACCTATGTACATTTTATAAACTTCTATATTGCGGAAAAATCTTTGGTTTGTGAAAATTTTTAAATATAATTCAAACATTTTCACTTATTTTCCGATTGTCTATGTAATTTAAGTTTTTAAAATATCTTTCGTATCACTATACATAACATATTCAAAGTTTTAAACATAACTACTATGCATAATGCTTATAAATGTTTCTGTCACCAAACTCATGATAATATAGCAGACAGGTTGTGGATACGAACATCTAAATTTATACAAACAAAGAAGTTCTTTCCAGTCCATTATTTTTAAAGTTCTCATTCAAAACACAAAATGTAGTTTTGGAATTTTAACAGCAATTGCGCTATCGGCAACAAACAGGTAAAATAGTATCTTACAAGTAGAGCATGATTTTATTAAATAACCACAAAAAGTCGATTAGAAGTCGAGATTGAATTGTATGAAAATTTTTTAAACTTATCAGAGGCTACCAATTCATTAGCTGATCACTTTTTATATCAAAGAGCAATAAATTAATTGTATTAACCAAGTTATCTGCTGTGGAAGTTACAAAACCAGTTGTTCACACAAGAAATTGAAAGCGTGAGCCTCATTCTCTTTCCGTTCTTTTCGCGTCAAGTGTTCACCAAGCATAGTTTTATAAGTCGAGAGGCATAGTTATTCTGGGTTGTTTTTCATAAATAGTGTTTTCTTTAGTTCTTCTCTTTCATGTATAATAACAAGGTAATATTGAGGGTAGCTGCACTATTTTTTTATAGTCGCTTCCAAATATAGTTGTCAGAACTGACTAGCTCTTATACAATCATAATCAAGACCGGAAGAGTCAGTAGCGACTTTCGATGAATCATTCATATTCTATATCACTGTATCAGATAGCAGAATGAGAGAGTACATAAATGCGATTGTTTCAAATCGAGAAGTAATGTCGTATGACATAGGCATGCACCAGTATCAATCATTATTGAAGATATTGTACAATATTGTTGGCTATCCAATAATATTGGATCCCGATATTATTGCATACCCAATCTATTATTCAATACGCTATTCTGGTGAAAATTGATTTTTTTAGACTGAAAATTTCATATTCGTTCCACTCTGATGATGAGAAAAATCATGCATGCAGGTCGGCTATAAATAACTAAAGTGTCGAAATCTTGATAAATTTTATTCAGCGTCATTCTTATACTTACGATATTTAAAGAAAGCAGCCATAAGTTGTAGTCTCTATCTGCTCTATATCATCACGCATGATTAATATACGTATGTCAGTATTCAACTATATCATACTGATAATTCCTTCCTGTCTTTGCTCCATATAGTAGAGATTGTAATTGTTCAGTTGCTATACAGAAACAGTTTTGCTCCAAGTGACGTGCAGCGAGATTTTCATGCTTAAACAAATTATTCCTCTTTTCTCAGTGTAAATGCTGCTTAAAAAAGACTCCATGGCCTGCTGTCATTCTTCCTTTTCCAGGAAATTAAAATTGGATAGCAGGTTAGAATGAATATTATCCTCATCATTGAGTGATGAGGTTCGCAGCCGACTACAATTTCCAATAAATCATAGATTTTTTAAAAACGAACAAGCTTTACTAGAACTTTAGTCGTAGCTTGTGGAGTGGAACGAATATGAAATTTCCAGTCTAAAAAAATCAATTTTCACCAGAATAGCGTAAAACTGAATAAATTTGTGAGGTGTTTCCAAAACAAAATGCGCTTTTGAATATCAATCGTAGGTTTTACATCGAAATTGAAATAGAATTGAAAATGACTCATAAATAATTGATCAGAGTAACGAGTGGGCCACAAATAATGACGTACTTTTGTTCTCTTTTCATTCGAGCACAACTGAGGTTCGAAGATCCCATTCTAAACTCATTCGATAGAGCATTGTCTGCTCTACAAAATCCATTATCTTCTTTCATTACATATTATTTCATTATTTTAAAAAATTGGTCACCCACATTGTAAAGCTTTCAGTGCACAAGTTAATCTGTACTTTTGGGTAACGTCGGACTTTGAAAAAAGCAGGAAATGGACTAGCCGGACAACGCAGTGAAAGTGTACGTTATAGGGTTTTATAGAGCGGACAATTTTCTATCTTCCTAAGCCAGAACGAAATCTCGGAGCCATACGGGATACAGATAAAAATAGATACATAAATA